AGCTCATTCTCACTACACCGAGGAAATAATTTCCATCTTGCTGAAGCCCATTATGCAAAGCCAAACGCGCTCGCAATCAATCAGTTTGATTAATCCCTTTCGTATATATATATATATATAATATATATATATATACACACACACACACACACACACACACACACACACACACACACCTGTAATAAATACTCACACTTCTAATATATGCGTTTATTTACACGCTCACCTCAATTCTCTGCATCTCGATCGGTCGGCCGTTCTCCAGCTTGTAAATGGCCGAGTACACCTGCGTGGTCATACCGTCAAACGAGTTGGCCAGAGCCAGGTAGCCGGTGCCGTCGATGCTGGAAGTATTGGCGCGGAAATGAAGGAGGCGAAAGGAAGAAGAGAGATTGCAGAGAACTTGTAACTCGGGAATTGTTGCGAGAGAATGCTATAAGTGTTTATAGGAGTCGCATGCGATTAGTGCTAGGCGCTAGGCCTAATACACACTTGTACTCGCGCGTGAAACGACAAGAGTCGTCAAACTTTGGTTGCAGTTTAAGCGAGTTCGGTCAATTCCACTGAGTCGCACTTCCAGTTACCACAGCCACAATTTCAATTACCCCGTTAAAGTATTTTGTTCTGATAGTAACTGAAGTACTATACATCAAAGATGTGCCAATATATATATATATGTAATCAAATGTCTTTTTTTATTCGCTCCCGATCTTATATTTACTTCGTATATTCTTGATAAATTAAATTGTCTATCACTTATTCACACGCCCTTGATGTTATTGACGACCTGATATGTTACCCGCAAATGATAGCAACCGTCTCATTCTGACGCGGAACCAAATCGAACCATTTTGGACGTATAAACCCGCGAAAACCTACAAAAACATAATGAAATTTACTGGCTTTATTTCAGACGGCAATCGGAACCTGACTGCAAGCTTACCTGAAGTGCGTCCAGTCCATGGCGCCCATTGATATAACTGTCTTGAATGGATAGAAGAGGCTCTTCCTCTTCTCAAATCTGTAGATGACAGACGCCATCTGTGTGTGACCGTCTACACATAAACACAATATACACATTACTACGACGCACCGAAACAAAATATAACGCCCACTAAGACATGCAGACCATTATAAGCAGGAGTGAACACAGGGAAGCAGTAATAGTACAACTTTGTTTTTACTCCTGCTATTATTAGTGAAGATATGTTCAATGCATGTCCTCATTCATGTGCGCGATTGAAATTTAAAAAAGTAAAATTCTCGTGAATGAACCCTGAAAGAAACTACTCGAATTCACACGCTTTAAACGTGTTGAGATGTAATCTAGCTGTGTAATCTAGACGCGCCATGACATATTCTTAATTCGCATGCTCAACGCAGATTTAAATTAACGCTCGCATAGTTTGATGCGAGAGAACCCCGTAATGATCAGAAGAGGAAAGATTATGGGCGTTTAAGTTTAGACATTGTATATTGACATTGTATTGTGATATTTTTCGAACAATGCCAATGGTCATCGATAGCAGATAATATACAGTAAATCAATACAAGGTTATTGCTATATATGGCGCGCGAAGTCTTCATAATTTTGTGTGTGTGAAATCTACGATATATATATATAATGAAGAAGCAATAAATCTCATTTAACGATTGCTTTACGTCTATACGTCTAAACTAGCATGCGTGTTTCCTAAACTATGCCGCAACTAACGCAACTGATATCTGTGCGAATTAAAAAGCTGTCCGTGACTATGAAGAAGATATTAACGAATAATAGAAAATATAATGTCTTAATCATGCACGTAGTCGTGATGGTGCTGCGTGGTGACATTCCCATTACGTTTCGTCATCATATCGCATAACGTAAGTGAATAATTAAACGCGTGACTGTCAGGAATCTTTGTGGTTGTATAGAACTACGTTAGATGATCTAATAACAATAATTCTTTTATCACAGATCTGGTCGACTACACCAGAAGATACTTGACGGCAAAATATCGATGATCTTGTTATTATTTTTTAGAGATCATATAGACAACGGTGCACTGTAATCCCTCAACGATCAAATACAATTCCTTTAAAATTACAAGGCGATGGTGCTCGTGATGGCTGACTAAGCCTTTCGTGCAAAACGACAAATTAACTACAAAAAACGCTAGCATTCTTGCTAATGGCAGGCTCGTCTATACCTACAAATCATAAATATTTTGTGTCTGTAGCGCAAACAGGCACGGGGTATCACTGCAGGTGCACATCGCTATTATCTAGCTGAGAGGTTTTCCTACCTATGTACATTCCACTCGAGATTAGGGGCAGATCTGCAGTTTCAGCACAAACACAACGTCAGACAGTTGAAGTGTTAATGCTACTGATATATATGACTTTTCAAAGAAACAGCACTTTGTAGCTATTAGTGGCAGAGCGTGATGTATTGAAAGAGGGAGCGGAGTGTGGAATTCGTTATAGAGTTATAGAGAGCGCGGTATAGATTCTCGGAAAACCGGTTGTTGAGAAAAGTGTGGGCGAGTTTGTTGGTGTGGAGAGGATAGAAGAGTTTATAAAAGAGAATAAACTATGTTTACAAGTGAGAGAAGAGTAACGCGTTGGAATGACTGCGATCACTTGAGAAGCGCGAACAGTTGTGGAAATGAGCGAAGGTGTTTTCGGTCGATTCCGCTTTTATTGACCTCTATGACTGGTGATTCTAAGCGCAGCTCACGCTTGAGCTGCGGTAGCGCAAAGGTCTATCATGTTTCAGATTAGACAAGATTGTTTTCACCTGACGTAGAAGAACGTCGTTAGCATATTTTATCTGTCGAATAATCGTCTGAACCATTGGCTTCTTGAATAGTTGTCAGTTGCCTTTTTTTCAGCGTACTACACAAAACCATCAGCTGTTACTGTCTTAACTTCCTAATGCGACAGACTGATTTACGGTATCAACCGAAACACATCCCGCTAACATATAAAAACGTTCGAAACATTCTTTACAGCTGTAAAAATGTAACTTACAATTTTATGTTGTTTATAAACGTGTTTTTGGAAACGGGTCGTGCACGGTGCCATCGTTTGGCCACGCCATCTCCGGTTATTTACATGGCAGTTTGTCGGCAGGAAGGCACCACGTTTGATTGGACATACGCGCCAATTAATAAGTTCAGTTCAAGAAACCCGTGCATGCTCAGCGAGGGCAAGGTGTTACCGTGTAGGAATGTTCGTGCTCCGGTTCCGTGAACTGAAGCTACTAGATTCCGTAACCCGTAACGTATAGGCCAGTCACTCAGCGCCGTTCTTTTTCATCCTCCGCCTGTATTTTTAGCTACAGTCTTCGTTTCGCGACTAATCGAACTCGAACCAAGTAACCCTCACAAGATTGTTCGAATTTTCTAGGCGCCTGAAACGACCTCGCTGAAATGCACGGTGGCAGCAAGCGGACTAAGCAGCGTGGGATGAACCATAAGGATGAGCACCCGACTGGCTAGCCGGCTCATTCTACCAGACTTTCGCGTGATGCTGTTTTTTCGCGATAATGCGACAGATTTTCGAGTCCGTCTAAGACCGGCCATTGGTGAGAGCGCGTCTGGACGGTGGCCGGGGTCACACTACAACAACGGTGTGCGCTAGTCCGGGGCTTAATGGCTCACACCCGCTGTGACGGGCTGGCGAAAGTCACCGAGTGAGAAACTGGTCTATCATTAGGACCCTTAGTGTGAGCATCATTACAGTGAGATCGCACTTATGATTCTGTTAACCGCAAGATAGAAGTGGTTTCTCGATTACTGGTGGGGGTAACGTGAGACCCAGTAAACTCGATTGCGTGGCATCACTATACGCCAAAGATTTATCGGTACGCGATAACATTCACGTTTAGTAAAAAATATATACCAATAGTCACCATTGAGTCGCGTACTAGAAACGTGGTATAATCATATTTGGAAACCCGTATTTCCCGGCAAAACCACAGCCGGGTGAACGCCAGCTGACAGCGGAAGTGTAATACTAATAGGTAGACGAGATGTGCTGTGGGGTATACGGTAGCCCGTATTCCTGACCGTGCATCATTCCTCCCTTCATTTATTAAGGAAGAATGAGTTATTGGGAGCAGCATTATCATATTTCTTTTCTCGTACGTTGACTGCAGCGACGCCTGCCTGTTTAATATGAAATCTGTCGTACCGAAAAAGAACCGCAGCCAGATATATCAGAATATAAGACGAATTAGAGCTTGTGAACAGCGCCATCTATCGGCCGCTTATGCGTAACTTACTTACCTTTGGCGTAATTAGCAACAGCCAGGTAATGTTCGCCATTGTCCTCGTAGTATTCGATGTCACGCGAGGTGTAGGTGACGATATCTTGCTGTTGGAAAAACAGCTTATGATTGGCGCTCCATCGGTAAATCGTACAGATGCTTTTTACTTGACTCTTCTGCCCTCTGTTGGCCACTGCCAGATACAGCTGCGGACACAAACGCAAATTCCACCGTGTGAATTGCAAATACGTGAATACAACAACAATACCAACAATAAAAATAGTGAGAAGGATATAGAGAAAGAACATAGAACACAGAAATACGTAAATATATAAACGTGCCCGCATGTGTGCGGAAGATAGTGTCAGGACACATTGAACGTTGTAAATGTACAAAATGTGTTTTAGTGTGGTTTTCCGACCCAAGGTTGCTTTGTATCGACTGGGAATGCGGGGATGGTAATTCCTTCCACATGACGTCTGGAGTAACCGTCTGCAGCTTACAAGAAGCGACAGTGAATAGCAGCCAGACATTCTTACTGTTTGTTTTCTATTGCGCTCCGGCTACCAACGTTTCTTTGTACGCAACTGTAACGAGTATACTGATTACCTTAAAAAAGATAAAACCTGGCAGAACGACCCGTCTTAAAAACCCGCTCCAAAAAGTAGAGATATAAATCCATGTGTGTGTGTACGTGCGTGCGTGTGTGTGAAGTGTTGCGTGCGTGTATGTGCTCGTGCGTGTATGGGCGTGTGCGCGTGAGTGCGCGTGAGTGCGCGTGAGTGCGCGTGTACGTATGTGTGTTTGCGTGTGTATGTGTGTGTGCGTGCATGCGTGTGTCTGTGCGGGTGTGCGTGTGCATCTGTGTGTGTACGCACGTGTATGCCTAATGTATGTGCATATGCGTGTGTGATTGAGTGCGCGTGTACGCGTGCTCACGCGCGCGCGTATGTCTGTGTGACGGACCTCGTGAATGGAGAACACGCGGGTAAGAGAGCGTGCGCGCCAATCAGGTTAAAATAATAAACTGAAAAAAATGACTAACAATAAAACGAGCGGGGCGTTTTTTACGCGAGCGTGTCGACGTTTTTGAGCGACCACCCAGAATGCTTAATCATCATCATCAACGCCGCCCGACCCCGCCAATGCAGACGATCTCTCTCTCTCTCCCTCTCTCTCGTTAGCGCCGACACAGTGAATTTCGCGTTTGGGCGTAAGCGATAAACTTGTCTTGTTAGCCGCGGCAAGGTAATACTGTTGTGCGCTGACACAACAGTTGCACAGGTAAAGCAATCGACTGTACGGACAGGACACGTGTTACCAAGATAGCTAGATGCGCGGGCGCGACATAGGTTCTGTTCATCTAAGATAATTACGCATGGTAGGTTGATGCACTCGCCAAACACATGAGCCGATGCAGAAGTAAGGAGAATGAATAAATAAGAGACGCAGGTGGATTCGCATCTATAACATCAAGAGCGTATAAAAAAAACCTTCTTAATACGCTCTTGATAACATCCCGTGGTGCACACGGGTGGAGACACAGGCGAAATCCACCTACATACAGGTAAGACAAAAAAGAGACTTGCTGATTAGCCCGCGTTGGACAGGAGCGTCACACATGCATTAGACCGAATGCCGCGTACCGCCTTGATTTATGGCGGGCGAGTGTCGCGAGGGCCGGACCGCGATGCCCATTACTCTGCCACCGCGTCGTGCTCTTCACAATGACCAGCCGATGTAATTGATGATATCAGATGATATATATATCTCTCCGGCGCACCTCTCGTCACGGTGACGGTGTGATTAACCGCTCCAGAACGCGGCCGTGAATGCGAAAGAAAGACGGCGCCATTTTCTATTCTCCGACAACGAAAAACGAACGAATGGCGACGTTAATTGACAAAGCCAATGAAAACATATATATATGCGGATGTTGATGTGCTATGTGTGATATGTGTGTGCTGCGTGGATGTGCGTGCGTCGTGCGTGCGTTTGCGTGCACGTGCGTGCGTGCGTGGCGTGGGAGATGTGTGGGGCAATGTGGTGTGTGTGTGTGTGTGGTGTGTGTGTGTGTGTGTGGGTGTGTGCGTGGTATCACGGTGTGGTGCGTAATGTGTGTGCTGTGCGTGTGCGGGTGCTGTGTTATATTTACGCGCGCGAGACAAAGGTTTGCCGCCAACTCGGCTAGCCGGGCTGTGCGCTGTCACGTGCGACTGAGAGAGTCTGAGTGGTGGCGGAGCGTGAATAGCGTTTGTCTAGGCAAAACGCAGTAAGCAAGCGATGCTCTTTTTCACGCTTATTAGTGCTTAACTACGCTAGACGGTCATAAACTAAAAGCGATCCCGTCGCGGGATGCTTGACGTGAAAGCCTAGGTGGTACTGTTTATCGGCGGTTCGTGCGCCTACGTTAATTGTCACTGCCTGCAATTGTCAAGTGCGTACTGTATGCTGAGTTCTCTGGATGAACATCCCCTCCCTACCGCGGCGGCGCTCACTTACTACTCCGTGCCAAGGGTCAGAGGGGATCTCTACCACGTCGGGCAAACACGAGAAATGCGCCCGTAAAGTTTTTAAAAAACTCGCGGGAATTCTGAACACCACGCGCAAGTTTCTACCGTCGGGGTGGGGTTGGCCATCTCACATTCCCTCGAGCTTTAGACGTTCTGGGTGTATTCCTTCCTGGCGGCTTATCAAGCCCGTGCGCGCGTGGCCACTGTACTCCTGTATATGGAGAAGAACTTCAGTTTTTGTTGCACCGAACGTAAGGGTGAGGTTTCAGGTCAGATAGAAACCGAACTTACATTTCTGCCATGTGGTAGAGGGAAGATCGCTGCGGCAGTCGTCCTGTTCAGCTCTCGCAAGGCTGCATGGAGGAAGGTACCCTGAGTCGGGAAAGCGTGACACCTCGGCATGCTGAGCGGGGGAGGAGTTCTGATTCCTAGGGTATACGTCAATGTAGTCTCTCTTCGACTGTGTCTGCTGTTGAAAGGGGGAATAAACCATCCGTAAGTATTGACAGTGATTGATAATCGGTTTTATGTATGAAACGTTCGCAAATCTAGGTGTTGATGTGGATGGACAGTATAAAAATAGACTAACCAAATGTTGTGGGTTTGTTTAGCCCATCCGATGGTTGATCATGGCGATAGTTACTTACCTGATAAAAACGGCGGCTATATAAACTGCGATGTTGCTTTAGGATATCACAAATATGGAGGATGCATTACTGATGTTTGGGTTAGGGTTGGTTATGCGTGCTCGAGAAACGAAAAGCACATGGATATGATACCAAGCGAAGATATGGCGGAACAGGCAAGAAACGGAGTGCGGACAATGCGTGCGTAGCTAGGTACGTAAGGTGGTGAAGCAAAGGCTAAAACCATACTGTGACAGACAGAGATGGTGCATGGTGTATGCAGTTAAACTGAGGAAGAACCGAACATTAACAAAAATAAGAGACGCATGAACTATATGTATAGTAAGCAGTGCGGAGTTCTTGTTTAGCCTGATAGCGAAGTGACACAAGGTGTTATATGAGTATATTGACGAACTCATTTAGATAATTATAGTTCCTTTGCTTTCCGTGACATTTCATTAGATACGCGCTGCAATCCCTTTAGTAGATATAGTAAGCCCGGCAGGGATTATGCCATTATTATATATTATATAGGCCATGTTAAGTGTTATTGCAAGAAAATTTTGCGAGGCGTGCATTGATTTACCATGGTACGGTCTAGCTCTAGAACAGTATTTACGCGAAGATGATTCGATGCAGAGGCACAAAGGCGACAAACTATGCATGCGTAAACTAATTGTCTACCCGCATCATTACAACGGGTGGGATTAGCTCAATAGTGTCGCAGAAATACCTATATATATATAATATACTAATAATATAATATATATAGTTAGACTTTACTTCTTAGACGGCGTTGGAAGTGCTATGTCGCGCTTCCGTGACTTTGGAGCTAAAAGCGGAACCGCGTTTCGGGGGCTTTCAGTTTTAACCTTTTGTGTGGATGGCGTCGGATGATGTGATTGCCAGGAACGTATCGTTAAGGATCTGCCGCATTCGAACAGAACTCGAGGAGAGTGAAATTTTGCGTGTATACCGTCTGAATCAACAGTAAATGAGAGGTAAATGTAGTCGATAGGTGCATGGGCTATGAGGTCGACGGCTCTAGGTGAGCGCATACGGGCGAGCATGGGTGGAGTGGAGCTATGCATTAACCTAGTATTATAAACATAAACCAACTATAACAATAACGTTATACCGTTACGATACCTCACACCTACAGATTAACCATAACCCTAACAATAACCATAACCCTAACAATAACCATAACCCGAACTCTAATCACAACCGTAACCCCAACCATAACCCTGACTCTAAACATAACTAAAACCATAACCCTGACTCTAACTCTAACCATAACCGTTACCCTAACCATAACCCTAACCCTAACGTTAGCCCTAACCCTAACCTCAACCGTAACCTTAACCCTATGGATATCAATATGATGGCCCTCCTAGGCCACCAAATGTCTGTCCCTTCTTACTTTCAACGCGTGCATATTATTTAAGTATACATGAATGTTACCGTGGTAATAATGTCACCCGTGTCGGTGTACACCTGCGACTAAAATACGTGTTTTTTTTTCTTTACCGGAATTGTGTTGTCGAATAAAATTAGCGACATTTAGGGGACGCAAACGCACTGTCAACCAATACCACCACACCCATATATAATATATATATATATATATATATATATATATATATGGTGACATCTCGTCGCTGAGCTAGTCTGTTTATGCTTCTTTACTAGCTATATATTAGCTCATCAGTCAGCATGGGGTAGTCGTTGCTGCGAGCCTCTCACGCTTCGCTGCCGTAGCTCCTAGCTAGCTAGCGTTTACACGTTCCTTCACGATGCCTTGTGATCCGCGTTACCTCTCACGCACATTTTGGTGTCCGAGTGATTCATTCATACTACTGATGGATTTCCGAGTGCTGGAGTTTCTTAGACTTCTTTGCCGCTGCACCGCGGCATCAAAAGCTCATACAACCAATATATATATATATA